TGGATTCTGGTGGGATACACATCACCGAAGTTCTTATATTCTTGTTTCGATGTACGTAGGTCCGGTGAGGCATTATATTTATTTGTGATATCGTTTAGTGACGACGTTTTGTGTAGTGAAAAGCAGCTTAGTGCTTCATGGTTGACGTTTGTTATGTAATCCGTTGAAATAGCTTGTTACTGAAGTTAGAATTACAGCTTCCGTTTAATTTGTTTTTATTTGTGGAAAATGCAAAACACGGTTATCGCGTTTTGTGCTTTCGATAAGTAGAAGGTTTATTGAAAGCGTTTTTTGTCAATTGCTCTGTAACGATTCACAAGCGCTTATCTTGTACACCTAACCGGGTGTGGCGGTGTATTCGGTCCGTCCCCTACTTCTTTTTGCCGTCTAGTGAGGACACAGCTCCCTGCTATTATAGCACTTAAAAACACTTTTTTTCTCGAGCGATCATATGGCGTCACGAACGGTGCTTCCTGAACTGCCTTTTATATGCCGCCGCGAAAACTTTAAATATTGATTTTCATGCTACTGTATATTAATAACTCCTTAACTCCTCGAAAAGCCGTTTGTAAGGTTTGGTTTACTACAGAAATTCGTCTGTGTTAACTCCTCTATCCCTGAACATTAGAAAGGAATCGTTTATCGATAATTAGGTAGCAAATTTAATATGCAGTTACCTAAGGAAAAAATGTTTCTGCTAGGAACAGTGATGTAAAATTATTATTTCATTTACGTATGCATGACAAATTCCTTTTTTAATGGGACCAGGCATCGACTGGAGTTCACTATCCAAGTAATGAAACTCGCCAGTTTCTTATTTTTTCAGGTAAAGGTAAGCTATCCTGTTTTGTCAATATTGGTACTGGCAAACATTGGGTATCTTTACCATTGCCGTCTCGCGCTCGTCACCTTCGACCTGTACTGGCAAATTGTCCCTTTGTTCCCATACATCGGATCGCAATGGCTTTGACCTTACAAGATATTTTTTTGCAACTTATTTCTTGTTTTTCATATTTCTGGCCCATGATCCCGATTCATAACATTTTTGTGGCCTTAATCATGAAGGAACCGCACCCTCTCAACAATGTTCGATGCCATTGCAGCGGGTTTGTTCTCTCGAAGTCGATATGGCGTCCTGTCGCAGTATGGTGATGGGCCGATCCAGAAGGTAGTTTCAGCTTTAGCAGTAGTTCTTTGCCTTCCATCGTTCACTTCTACCCAATAACTTCTTTCCGCAGCGGTCTTGATATCTCTCCAAGAGTACAGTAAGCGTTACAAATTAGAGAGCCGATTTGGTACACTTTTCGTTTAAAAGGGGTATTTAACCTTTTTACCAGCCTTTTACCTTCATTAATAATGATTTTAGCTTTGCTTTGGGTTTGATGACAACTTTTATTTTCGTTGACTTCATAGTCCGCTTATAGACTAGGAAAGTAAACTATGCGAGTTCTTGCCTTGACCTAGATTCTTGTCCAGTTCAATACCTCGATTCTTTCGGGATGAATTTTTTGGTATTCATTTCATTCCAGCTCGTCATCAGAATGCTTTGCTTCCTTTTGATCTCCTGCCGAAAGTTAACTTAAAAACGCTTATTAGGGTCGCTGGAAGTAGGTTGGAGATGTCTCTAACTGGCTGTTAGGGAATTTCTATTTTTTTAGAGGAAAATCGTCAACGTTCTTGACATATGAAAAGATACTGTGCCATTTAACCGTGAACTACTTAAATCATTTAAGCAGCTTGCAGCAAAATGATGATAGAGTACGCCATGAAGTTTGATTTTGAGCAGTTATGTACTTATTTCCATATTTGGCAAAACATATAAATGGGTCAGCTCCTGACACAACAACGGTGGCTAGCGAAGTATTGCTTTAGCGAATGATTTAACGAAGATGCGTTTTTGCCCCGCAGGTGCTCCTATGCCGCTACTCTGCTTAGATGCTTTTAGAGCATTTAGGACTAAGGGAGCGGTGCCGTAAAGAAATATCAACTATACTACATATATGCAGTAATACTTGAAAATCGTACATGATTTCTTTATGCGTGAGGTTGGTCCCGAAACGTTAGATGTCCCTAATTGAAGACCATTTTATGCGTTGTCTTCCCGTTTGTGACATACCTAAAGATTATGTAGTAATACTTAGTAATATTAATGTTAGTTATCAATGAATATACTTAATGTCGTTCAAGATTTTACAGAGCTAGAGAAAGGGGTCCGTTATACAGTAGTGTGATCACTACATATACTGAGGCGAATGTGGAACTGACTTGACCAACTATGAAACTTTCTAGAAATTTTAGGCGCAGCCAGGCTCCATGGGTCGTTATTGTGACAGTAACATCTGAGGCAGTTTCCTCGAAACTTTGATCATGTCAGAGGATGTCAAATAGATGGTGCGGTGTTTTCTTAAGTGCTGAGTGAACGATCAGTGATTGCCTAGAAAGGGAACTCATACGGCGGATCTCTGTAAATGGCAATACGCTAAAACGAGGAAGTAGATAAAGGAGGAAAAAGAAGAATGGTTGAAGAATTGTAAGAGAATAATAAGTTTTATGAAGACATGCAACAAACAGATATATTTGAATCACAATATGATTGGAGAGAAATCTGCTTCTTAAGGTGTCGCTAAGCAGTTGCCAAGCTTTTTAGCATAATTTAGAATTCAACTACCTTT